TGTATACAATTCTGAAATGTATTATCCAGTGTTGTTTTCCTTAAATGGACCATACCTTAATTTTTTATTAACTTTGTCACAGGACTGAAATCAGTATTTGCTGGTCTGTGATTGGCATTTTGGAGAACAGGAAAAACCGGTGAAGGGTTGGCTCATTCAAGGTCAAGAAACAGAATCATATTCCTAATTTCTCCAAAATGATCTAAGTTCATAATCATAATTGTTGTCCTACTCAAATTCAAACTCTGAATTTTTAAGAATATATCTTTTGATGTCCTTAGAATACCTTAGGATGAAAAAATTTAAGTTCCACAGCTGCAAAATATATAATCAACTATTAGGTTTTTTTTTTAATCTTAATGTTTGTGTCAGCATAAATGTATTTAATTCAGTAAAAAATTATTGAACTTTATAAGGCCCCTTAAGGCTTCTACCAGACATCTGAGTAAAGCAAAAAAGCTTTGTACTCAATGGGGTGACAAAAAAATATACAAATAACTATACTACATGATCACTGTATCTCTCCTGCCAGGTAAGTATACAGTATAGTTACACATATAACTATACTACAAAAGATGGTATAAGTGCCATAAAGAAAAGTTTAGGAAAATAACAAGGACCTTTAAAGAAGGGAGGTGTGACTGCTTCATGACCTGCTTCGGTAGGAATTTATGATCAGATCCCTCTGAGAGGTTTCTGTTTTGGGTCAGAAACAGTAGTGTGAACTAAGCCATGGGGAAATGGAGCAAGGAACATGTTTAGGAAACCATGAAAGACACAGCTTGGCGAGAGCCCAGGCACAGAGAGGAAATATGACTCCAAAGACAGACAGAAGCCACACTGCCAGCAAAGGGCTCTGAAGTCAGGCTGAGGATATGTAGTAAAGCCTCTGTATGTACCTGCACTACAAACAACACTGTGCTTCTTGGGGATATAAAAGTAATGAAATAACCTATGTTGACAGCGTAGGAACAGAATGATTCTGCAATAATCTAGAAAAGGGAGTAAGGAGGGTGCAGGTGGCTCCAGGTGACAGTGGGAATGGAGAGGTGATGTTGTGCTTAGAACCTACTGGATGTGGTAACAAACTTGGTACTCAGAGTGATGAAGAAGGGAGAGGGAAGTTAAAAAGACAGGCCATAGTTCTGAATCTGGATGACCAGAAGAATCTTAATAAAAGGGTCCTAATAAAATTAGTGAAGTTCAAGGGGAGAACTGAGCATTTTGTATTGTTTAGTTCAGGGAAAGAAAGATGCAAATAAGTTCCTGGTCTGGACATATTACATTTGAGAAAACAGGTGCAAAATTTGGCACACAATTAGACGTGGCACTAAACTATTGAAGAGGAATCCATAATAAGGATGAGATTTCAATTTTCTCCACCAACAAGGAGTGTGAGTAAACAAGACAGAAACTGAAGATGAAGACAGAATCTTGGAGAATGACTAGGTTTAAAGAATGGGAAAAAGAAGAGAACCTAATAAAAGTGACACTGATCTGAAGTAAGACAAGAAGCAAGAGCTAGAATGTTTGTTAAAAATTTCAAAAAGGGATAGCCATCATGCATTGGGGGGGGGGGGGGGGAAGGGCGGCGGGGGGAGAAGGAGGCTCTCCAGCCAGTAGGGCAATCACAGTCCGATTTCTTAACACAACGAAATCACAGGCCTCCTTTACATGAGTGCCTTCTTCACAAAGCAAAGTACTGAGCTAGCCAGGGAAGAGGGGCCTCATAAAGTCAGAAAATGGAAGAGGTGACCTCATGACACTCAGCAGTGTGGACAAAAAGGAGTCACTGTAATAAATCTACCTGAAGAAGCCTCTCAGAGGGATCTGATCATAAATTCCTAACGAAGCAGGTCATGAAGCAGTCATACCTCAGGCCTCAAACTTCCATAATAAAAGATTATATTTGCTTTAAGAAAGCCCTGTCCATTGTTTTGTGCACCTGGGTTTACACACTTAAAAAAAGGCAAGGGGTAGCCATCTTTAGAGTATCAGACACTGAAAAGGACCCAGGAAATATAAGTACCAAGAAAAATAAAAGCCCACTGAGATGTGCCATTGAAGAGTTCTATGATTTTTAAGAAATCAGATGGCAAAGGTTTGGAAGATGGCAACAAAGAGGAGTCACTGGTTTTAACCGTCTTTTAAAAGATAGAAATCCACTCACTCTCTTATCTCCAAGAACTATACTTAAAGTCTAATGCAAATCCTGTAGGATACTGGTAAATCCATTGGAGGGAAAAGAGAGCGGGGGAGGCACACACACACACACACACACACACACACACACACCCTTATTTCTAGCATCTGAAGACTCCCATGGTGTAAATACTACCACCATAGCTGATTTGGAGCTGCCAATGCATGTCAAAATTCCTGAGAATTTAGCAATGGCTGCCAGGATGAGCCAACTACAGCATCACTGCAAACCACCTATTTCATAGTCTACTCTGCAATGAGCAATTCTGTGACAGCTTTCCTCGGAATTCAATGGCTACTTACTCATTCTCTGGGACAACCTTGCTCTAATTCACAGAAGTTTACTCTACTCTTGTTACATTTAGCTTTCTCCAGTATTACAACGGAAAGGGAACAGATGTGGAAAGCCAATGGCTCCCAGGCATGCGTGTCTTTACTGAGAGTCACAAAGGAAAAAACAAGAATCATATGCTTAAAAAAAACACCTTCCTAAGACTTCTTATAATTGTTTCCTTTGCTAGTGTCATCTTTCCATCTAAAACTGAAAATTCTTAAGGATAGGAAACTTGATTCAAGACTTCTGTTTTCCACAATCTACTTGGCTGCTGGATTAGTCCTACTGTAGATTAACCAAAAAAAATTAAAAAAAAAAATACACACACACTGAGTAGCCAGATTAATATGATCTTTGAACGTATAATAATCTGGCCACTCAGTGTATATCCTATATAATAAAAGGCTAATGTGCAAATCGTCCCCTTAACCAGGAGTTGGACCAGAAGGCAGGCTGGCCAACCGCCCATGTCCCCTCCCCCTGGCTAGGCTGGCCTGACCCCACCTATGCACGAATTCATGCATCCGGCCTCTGTTTTTTAAACAGAGCTTTTGTCAATGCAAGGAATAAATAAGAAAGTGGCAGTTGAATAAGTCAGATAAGTAAGAACAAAACAGCCCAAGTTAGTTGCCATCCCAGTGAGAGGCAGGAGAGATATGGGGAAAGCACGCTAGACTGAATCCAGACACTTAGGGACCTCAAATTCAGCCCTACTACTTACTGGCCCTGGGGTGCTAGTAAACTCCCAGTTGCAGGTCTAACTGAAAAATGGGATCAGCAATACCTAACACACAGGGTCAACCTTAGATTTCACATGAGCACATTTAGGAAGCAGCCAGCATGAGCAGGTACTTGCTCTCCTGCTTGGTACAGTTCAGAAGGCCATACTAGTTTGGACACTGGCCACAGCTCGAGTGTATTGCCAAGAGTGCCAAGGAGACCAACCTCTGTTGTGGCACCCTGGCTAGTCAGCTGCTAAGGATTTTTTATAATCTGTTTCCTGTGACTTCCAGCCATCACCCAAAGCCACACATTCCTTTCACAGTTGTACTGCATCCCAAGCCCCACAACAACAGGGAGACAAAGAAGTCCACCTTAAAGCAGTCTCAAAAGCCAAAAGCACCTGGAGACAAGCAACTCCTGTTTGTGTGACATTCAGCATCCTACCTGAACAAGGAAGCTCAAACACAAACAAACACCCCCTCATTTCTCATATAATCAAAATTCAAGGGAACAACCTAATTTTTAATATTTCAGAATTACCTCCAATCCTGCCTCCCTCCCCCAGAACACCATAATTTCCAAATACTCCTGTCTCTTCATGGCACTCCACATTACCTTCTATCATTTAGACTGTTTCATATGCACCTTTATCCAGACACCTGAAGGAGAATTGATATCAAAAGGTTAAGCTTGCAGGGGGGGAGCACAGAAGTTTATTACTCTCCAACATAAATTACTAGCCTTGAGACTACTAATGTTCAAAGCAAATGAATTTTTCCACTTATTAACTACTACTTATCCATCTGCTGACAGGTGCATCAAGTTGGTTTACAGGTGGAAAAGAGTAACTTAAACTTAGTATACATACGAAAAAGCTTCACATGAGACATCTGTTTCCCAACTTTCATACAGTTTTCTAAATGTGTGTCCTTTGAATACACATACAGTTTCCCAGTACATCCGATCGCTTGGAAGCAAAGGGGACATCCTCCGTTTGAAAGATTCATTCTTAACTTGCTGACCACATCGGGGTTGACTTTGTACAAAGTCATGGTAAGTTTGACATTTTCTGAAACCCAAAGCCATCTATCTACCCACTTTTCTAACCCCAGTTCCCTCACGACGGGGTGCTCCCTCCCCGGTGAACCCCGGTCTGAGCCCGGGTGCTAGGGGGAGTCGGGGCTCTCCACCCCCCACCCCCCGAGCGCCCCAAGCAGCGCCGCCCCTCCCTCCAGGCTCTGGGGACGCCCGGCCCAAGCGGCACATCGGTCCGGGCCGCCGGCTGGACAGCGCACGGCGCGCACCTGACCCCCCACCCCCAGGCACTGCAAACGGCCTGGGGGTGGGGGGTCAGGGGGGGGACCCCGTGGCTCGGCCGTTTCCGGCGCCTGGGGGTGGGGGGTCAGGTGCAGGAACCGCTGGCCAGGGTCCGAGGCCGCCGCGGACGACGAGCCCGGCTCCGGGCGTCCGCCCACCGCCGCCGCCGCCGCCGCCCCGCGGAGCCGCTTCCACACCACAGCGCGGAGGCCCCTCCGCGGGGTCAAGCGGCCTCTGGGCGCTGCCGGGGTCGGACTCAGTCACCTCCCGCGCCCGGTGCGGACCGGCAACCCGCCCGGGGCAGAGCGGGCCCGGCGGCGCGAGGGAGCGGCCGGGCCAGGCCTCGGCGCCGCCCGGACGGACTCGGCCCCTGGCCCGCGAGGAAGGCTCGCGCCCGAGCCCCACCAGTCCCGGCCGCACTCACCTTTCGCCAATGTCCTCGTCCTCCGCCGCCATGGCCGCCGCTGCGCAAGCGCCGAGCTCTGCCTCCTAGCCGGCGGACGGGCCGACTGGGCCGCTCGGGCCGCCGCCGCCCTTAAGGCCGCGCTCCGCGCGCATGCGTAGCCCGCCCACTCGCGCGACCCGGCGGCCCCGCGGCGCGCAGGCGCGTGCCCAGTCACTGCCCCCGCTCCCCGCCCCGGGCCGAACACCTGCAGCGCGTGCGTCATCACGTTCTACCGGCTCCTGCGTGGGTCAACCTGGAGCGTCTGGTGAGATTCGCCCGATAATTATGTAGTAACTCATCTCAGTGAGGACTGAATTGATGCATCATCCGCTGGACGGACTGACTGTTAGGCACTGGGCACCAGGCAGGCACCTGCTAGTACCGCGATAGTAACTGATTAATGTTTAGTGACGAATGGAAATGTCCTAATGGAGGTGATAGGCGGCCCTCCACCAGCCCTTCCCCATAGGTGGATAGCCAAGGGGACAGGGAGACTCTCGGGACCCATCTGTAGCCACTGCTATAGACGCTGGCATTACAATAGTGGTCAAGGCCAGCAACTTCCACCCGCGCTCTGTGTAAATGTACAGAGTATTCAGACAGATTGCTTGAGTGGGAATCACTGATGTAAATGTCAACATGCCTTGGTCTGTTTTCAAGTCTTATATATAGGGAATCAGACACTGCCTATTTAGTATTCGTCTATAGTATTTACTGCGTACCTACTATGTGCCCCTGTGCTAGGCACTGAGAAACAAAGCACTGAAATAGAGAGCGTACCTTTGCAGAGCCTACGGTATTGTAATACCTTTTATTTTTAATGCAGTTCATTGCTCTTCTTCCCCAAGCCTCCTCCCTCACTACACTCTCTCCTGGGTCCCTGTAATTCAAACTATCTCCATCCCCCTCAGATGCTCAGCCTTGTATGATTGCGATAGCTTTTTAATGAACATTAGTGAATATCCTCCCAACTACACTGGAAGTTCCTTGAGGTTAGGTTTGGTGTTTTCTGTATGATTTAGAGAAAATTAAAAAAAAACAAAAAACCACTCATAATTCCTTGAGCATAGTCATAGCAATAAATATTTTGTGGTGTTTGAACCAATTTATAAATATTTTAGGGAAGACTAAGACATCCAAAACACTTCTTTTTTTTTTTAAGAATTCGTGGTATTGCTAGAGATTTGTAGTGTCTCTGCAGAAAAGGACCCTCCACAATCTCCACCTCTCAGACCGTATCTATATTAGGGGCAACTCCTTCTATATTGGCCAGGCTGGTTATTGGGGACCCTGCTGCCTGGAGTACAGTCATTTAACAAAATCCAAAGATGTAGTGGCAATTCTTGCAGCACCTTCAGAAAGTTGGACTGACATACATGCGCTCTCAAAGGACTTTGTGGACCTGGAGCCTGCTCTCATGATGCCAATGGCTCCTGCACAGTGGGCGTGGGGGGGTGGATGGAAAGAAAAGAGAGCTATCGGTGTCCTAACCGTTTTTTAGTGACATAACCAGTTACCTGGAGTGATCAGTCCTTATGTTGGAAGGTCACCAGTGCCTACTCTGAATTCTCCAATCAGTCAGAGGTGAAACTTTGCAAGGCAAATACATTGTCTGCTTTTCCTACTCTGCCGCAGGGCTATGGAGTCTGGAGACCTGAATGCTGCCATTACGTCACCAAGACAAGTATGCCATGGGTGGATGCCTGGTGCCCCACTGGTTTCAAGGTGGGTTTTAATTTCTGGCCCCTGTTCCCCACTCCCAACAGAGATTCTCCAGGGGGAATGTTGAACAACACCGCAGCCACCACAGGGTCTGGCTTTATCATAAATGTGCCAGGCAAACACTTGCAAGGCAGAATAAGGGTAAGGGCATGAAGGGTTTTCTGAGGGCTTCAATGGCCTGCCTGCCCTATAAGTGCTTATAAAATGCTATAATCAAACAAAGTGAGGGAGCAAGTATGGCAGGGAGATAAGAAAAACATGGGAAGGTAAGAGAAAATGATAGCTGGGTCTTGAGCTGTATGACCCACAAGAGGTAATGGGGAGGGGGACACGGGGACCGGGCTGGGGGAGAGGAAATCTTGTGACTAGAGCTTCTCAAACTCTAATCGGTATCTTGTTAAATTGCAGGTTCAGAGCCTGTAGGTCTGAGGTGGGGCCTGATTCTCTACTCACTGAGATACTCCATTTCGAACCAGCTCCCAGGGATTGGGGGGGTGGGGGGGTCAGCAGACCATCCTTGAAGTAGCGAGATTCTAGAGCAGCCTTACCCACTAGAACTTTCTGCAGTGCTGGAACTGTTCTAAATATAGTAGAGATGAGTTATGTAGCTATGAGGCATTTGAAATATAGCTAATGCAGATGAATTTTTAATTTTAATTACATTAAAGTTTAGAACACACAAAGCTAATGGCTACCAGGTTGGACAGCAAGGTGTAGATCTTATACTCCTCGTCCATGAAAATGGGAGTTTAAGACTAGATGACTCCCAACATTCTTTCTGGCATTCTATGGTTCCAAATTGTCTTCAAGGTATGTATGAAGATAGGGGTGGGAGATTAATGGGGGGACACTTGTTAAAGTCTGGAGTAAGGCCTGAGGGGTTGAGAGCTGCCCCATGATGGAGCATGCAGCGTGTCCCCTAGAGGCTGGATTCTAGAACTTGGTGGTGGAGCTGCCCTCTGGAGACAAGAGACGGACTAGCCAATGAATGTCCGTGGAACTCTCAGACCCACATAAAAGGCCTTCGTTAGCAAGATACAAATGTCAGGCCAGAAAGGAAGAGAGAATAATCTAACCACGTCAAAATTTAAAACAGCTTGGTTGGTGTGGTTCAGTGGTTGAATGTCAACCCATGACCCAGAAGGTCAGGGTTTGATTCCTGGTCAGGGCCCAGTTTCAGGCTCAGTAGCGGGCATGCAGGAGACAGCTAAACAATGATTCTCATCATTGATATTTCTATCTCTTCCTTCCTCTCTCTGAAATCAATAACTTTTTATTTTTATTTTTTAATTTAAAGCACCTCTGTGAAAAAAGACACAATATAACACAATGCAAAAATATGAAACAGACCAAGCTTTACTCTCTTTAATATATAAAGAAAATTGGATTGAAAAATAGATTTAAAAAATTCTTCTCAGGGGAGATAACTCTAAAGCCATAAACAGCCATATGATGCTGACACTGATCTGTGATCAAGGGAATGCACATTTAAACTATGATGATAAAAACGAGAAAGGTTCATGGTAATAAATATTGGCAAGATGCTAATCCATGGGGACCGTTTCCACACAGTTGATGTGACTGCCAATTGATACAGCCATTTGGAAAACAGTTTGGGAATTATATGTAAAATTCATGTGCCCTCTACTAGCCCAGCAATTTAACTTGTGGGAGTCTGGCCTTTCTCATGTGCACAGAGATGTATAAAAGGATGTTTGTTACCTTCAGTATTCTAATAGCAGGGGGGGGGGGGGAAGAAATTAATAAGAATACCTATGAGGAAATAAACTCTAGCATGCCCATAATATGAAATACTGTGGCAACAATGAAGAAAAGTGAGGTAAATCTAATATGGAAAGCTCTCTAAAGCACATTACATATAGAAAAATCAACATCCATGAAATATGAGCCAAAAGTTGATTCTTTGAAATTAATAAAATTGACAAACTCCTAGCTAACTGATCTAGGAAAAAACACACAAATGAACAATATCAGGTTTGGTAAAGAGGATATCATCACAAATCCTACCCACATTAAAGTGGTAATTAGGCAATATTACAAACAGCTTTATGCCAATAAATTTGACAGTTCTTTGCCACTTCTCACACTGAGAGTGGGAGTGTGTTTTCCCTCCCCTGCAGTGTGAGCTGTGAGTTGTTTTGGCCACTAGAATGGGACAGAAGTGATGCTGTGTCTATTCCAGTGCTGGGATGTAAGAGATCCGTGGCTTCAGTGTTTACCAAGTCATGTGTTTCTCTTGAAAGTCAGCTGCCCTGGCAAAAATCTAACTCCTGGGAGACCACCATGCTGTGAGAAAGTCCTACTAGCCACATAGAGAGAGAAACCATGTGGAGCCCTGAAGCATCGGAGTTGTGAGGGAAGCCTTTAAAAATTTCCAGCTCCCTTTCTCCCCACGTGGTTAAAATATCTGCCCGAGTAAGCTTCAATTCCTGACCCACAGAATTGTGAGAAAGTAGAATGGTCATTGTGTTAAGCTGCTGTATTGTAAGGCAGTTTGTTCTGTAGCAATAGTTACACCACAATTGTTTCATATGGTGCTAACCCTTTATCCGGCCAATGTATAATGCCGCTATTATGTAGCTGGTGTGTTGAGTTCAAAGATTTATTTCAAAATAGTTTGTGTAGCTTCTGATGTTGAGGTCACTGCAGATTCAGATGCAGTTGTAAGAATAATATGAAGAGATCCCGTGTCGGCTCACATCTTTTGCCCATTTTCTAACTGTTGAGTTGTGAGACCTTTTTATATTTTCTGGGCACTAGCTCTTTGTCAGGTGTGTGGTTTGCAAATATTTCCTCCAATATTAAGCTTGTCTTCTCATCTTCACATCGATTTTTGAAGAATAAAGTTTTTTAATTTAATGAAACCTAATGTTTTGATTTTTGATGACTTAAACTTTTTATGTTGTCTAAGAACTTTTTGCCTAACCTGAGACCTCAAAGATTTTCTCCTTTGTCTTTTTCTAGATGTTATGGCTTTATATAATATGTTACATTTGACTCCGTGATCCATTTTGAGTTAATATTTGAATGAAGCGAGAGGTGTTTGTTTATTGCCCACGGATAGCTAATTGCTTGGGCACCATTTGTTGAAATAGAAATAGTCTTTAACATATTATGATGTAGCCTCTTGTGCTCTTATAAAGAATACTAGAGGCCTTGTGCATGAAATTTATGCATGGAGGGGGTTTCTCTCAGCCCAGCCTGCACCCTTTCCAATTGGGAATCCCTTGAAGGATGTCTGACTGCCAGTTTAGGCCAGATCCCACATTCTCTCACAATCTGGGACTGCTGGCTCCTCACGGCACACCTACCTGCCTGCCTGATTGCCCCTAACTGCCTCTGCCTGCCTGCTTGATTGCCCGTAACCTCTCTGCCTGCCTCTGCCTCTGGGCCTTTCTCTAGGCCTGATCCAAGCCTCTATGGCTCCTGCCAATGGAAAAAAAGAGAGAACTATCAGTGTCCTAACCCTTTTAGTAACCTTCTCTCTCTCTCTAGACTA